CACAAGTGGCTCTAACCCGCTCTTTCATAGCTACCGCTAGATTTATCATCCAGGACTATATCTAGTTTGTTGAGGCCTCTTGTACTTCGGCCACCACCAGCGAGTCCAGCGCCTCGGCTCCACGCCACGCGAAATCCCCGCCGTCCCTGGCCGCCCTCGGAGCGGGGAGCGTTCGGTCCGTCGTAACCTACACGCTTTAACCAACTTCTGGCTTGTTCTCCCTGGCCCCCCATTCCCAAATTGCACGGGTTTGGCAAACTTTTCTCTACTTTTTTTAAGCCTGGCTAAGTTTTTTTTTTTTCCTAACGGGCTGCATGCTGTTTTTAAAACAGGAGAAGACCGTGGCTTCCTCCCCTCTCCCATTTCATTCTCTTCCTTTCCTAACTACGGGCATTATATTCAGCTTTCCCTTCTGAATAGTGAGCTTACGTTTTCAGAGAGCTACACAGCAGCTCCAGGACTCTCCCCCACCCTTCCCTAAGATATAGTAACTAAATTAGAGGGTGTCATCGCCTAAGTGTCTCTACCAATTCACTAGGTATTAGATTCAGACTTACCAAACTGTGGTACCTAGAATCACATGCGAGACTTCTGGTTCTTTTCTTCTTCTTCTTTCACGAGATGGAGAGTGTTACTGCACTTTTTAATGTGTTAGTTAAAGCACAAAAAACCCACAGCCTTTTATTAATTTGTAATATACAGAGTTTCAAGTGATTAAAGCATATGTACAGACCAGCTAAAAATATCTAGCAGCTGTGAGGATGCTCATCCAGCATGGCAAAACAAGGAAGGGAATCCGAGTAAACAGCCAGTGTTGGGCCCCAGAAATTTCTCATGTGTTGCAAGTATGTGCAAACGTACCTGTATTCCCAAAAAAGCGACCTGGTCTCAACTAAAAACAGTCCCATAAAACTAGCAGCATTTGCCTAAGCTAAGAGACGGCAGAGGAGCCGACTAGTTTCGGGAGCTACTGGATTAGAAAGAGAAGGACGAAGACACTTCACTTCAGAATAACAGTTCTGCCAAGCAGAACAATGTTCATAAGCCAGAAGCTGCATAAAGGAAAATCCAGCATACGGTCATAAGTTACGATCTCCATAAATTAAAAATTTGTTAAACTCGAGGCAACGCAACTAGAATTAGCTAGAACTGGGCTGCACTGCAGATGTGGAGCAGCAAACAAAGCCGGAGCCGTCTCATAACAACACGGAGACGAGATGCCCTCCAAAACAGGGTCAGCAACGGCTGGTAATAACAAAAGATTCAGACCCCCCGTTTTCAGCTTACGTCCAACCACACAGCCTGCCCAGAGGTGTCAAGCGCTGAACGAGCTTCAGAGCAGTCATACCTTTCGTTACTACGCACACTTCATACACGTTAGCACTGTCAGACTAGAAATTCTCTAAATTCAAAAAAAAAAAAAGTCCCAAGTTTAGTTTCATGACTTGAATTAACTTATTTTTCGCAAGTTCCTGAGACCGCTCTTTACCGGGATCGCTCCTCTTGGCTAGTCTATTTGTTACCTGACTAATTACAGGGATAGAGTCCAATTAATCTACTGGCTTGTTTGTGCAGGATAACGAAGTGCTGTGTTTTACAGCGTAGGGGGGCAGGCGACAGTGTTTCCCTTTTCCCGGGAAGGCCAGGGGAGTTTATGGATAAAGACACTGCAGTAACCATCCTTTCCATGAATTTAGCTTATGAGACACTGCTTAAAATACAGAGTCTTCTATACTGCAGTCGCAATCTTAGTAGAGAGACCCGGGGGGAGAAAAAAGGAAAAAACCTCACAATTTCTGTATTTCTGTTAGCCAAGGTCTATGTGGCACAGGTATTGCCCAGGGGTCACTGGGTTATCTTTCTTTCGGCAATTTATTCCTTTCCCATCGAAGGAAATTGTCCCTGAAGGACACCATTTCACCTCTGCGCAAGAGAAGAGCATAGGAGAAAGCTTCCAGGAGCCTGCCGCTTTTTAAGAAAAGTTTAGATCAGCATGACTTTACCGCTACAGGAAAATATTTTTCAAACAGGGTGCAAATTAGGCTCCCCGTTTACCTGCCAAGATTCCAGTTCAGTCCTCGGCGTTTCCCTTACAAGAACAGCTGGCACAAGCAGCTAACACAGCAGGAAGCATGATTCCTTAAACTACTTTAAGTGTTAGTGACGCATACGTTCTAATCAAGAGTTGGCATCTTTAACATTCTTTGTATTTATTTTAAGAAAGCATTTTAGTTAATCTAAGCAAGAATATTCAAAAGCTACTGTGAAGAAAATACATTTTTGTTTCTGCTAAAACTTTTCAGAATAGATACCGAACGCTTTGCCAGCTCATTCAGCAGACATCACTTAGTTACGTGGCCAAGCACCACAGAGTGAAGAATTATACAAAAAAAGCTCTAATTAAAATCTTGTAAAGACAACTTCTATCTTCTGTGCCAAGGACAAGCAACATGGCATTATCAGTGGAAGGCCAAGACCGAAAAGCTTAGCCAACACCCAGTAGGTCAGAGAAGCCAGTCCCCAGATAGTTTCAGCATATTTCTTTGCAGTCCTCCAAAAGGGCAGTCAAAGTGTCAGGAAAAGGATGCATAAGGGTTACTTAAAAGAAAACAAGTTTAGAAATTCCTCTATGACTGTGCCAAGTATGGCCCGACAGTCAAGGTCACTTTAGCCACGTTTTTCACCTATGCTACTCACCGCATAAAACAACGCAAATATTAAAACATGGACGTTTTGCATAAAAATAAAATTTTTGTAGTTCTCTTCTTAAAATTACTGTACAAATAAATAAGTTAGTGTCCATTTAAATACAACCGTTCGGGAAAACTGGAAGCAGGCAAGACCAAGTCAGTCTCTTCTGATCAATCCACTCGTTCCTTCGGGAATTCACAGTTGTGCGCCATCTCCAAGGTAGCCAGACCACAGCTGAACACAATACCTGCAAAGAAACATGCCAAAAATGTAAAATGAAATGCTTCTCAGTAAGAGCGCTAGCTCCTACCAAAGGTGGCCTAACCCAGTAATCTGCTGTAGAATGATCAGTAGCACGTGTTGAGGGAAGAGTACAGGGCAAGCATGTAGTTAGGCTTTCCTGGGTAAAAAACGCAGTTCCTAGCAGTCTGATTCAGGAAGTCCTGAAGCTGAAGAGGTTATACCTATATCCTCATCTGTAAATTCATGGAAAAGAAACAAACTCATTTAGATGTTATTGCTCTGAAGAGATTTATAATTTGGCTACGCTACACTGTAGAGTTCCTGACCCCACGATATTAAACCCATACAAGGAAAAAAAGTATCTATCTCCTTCCTTTTGTTTCAGGCTTACTGTTGGATAATTTCTTCTGACGCTCCTACGTTTTGCTTTGTGGGAAACCCTATTCGGCTGTTGTTCCACTCACGATTTGAGATTAGAAGAGCAGGACATGAAATAGGTCTGTCTTCTGGACTGAAACGCCTGGGAATTAGCAGAGAGAACCCCGTTTTAGCAAGGCAAGTCGGTTTTCTCGTCAGCCCATACCAGCAGCAGCTGACAGATTTTTCAGCAGTTTGAGACTAGTTTCTGGCGGCGCGGAGAGCTGCCCAAAAAGCCACTGCTGCTGCATCGACTCGAGAACAGAGGCCAGACGTACGCGGGCGCTCAGCTAGCTTCCTACCTAACAGGAAAAGGAACGGAAAGAGGATTGAGACAGACAGATGGGGCTTTCCAGGGAAGTTTGCACGTCCCTGCTGCGCTGCCCTTTTTCTTCCGAACTTAGCCCGCAAACACATTTAGCGTTACGGCATCATAACGAAACAGCCAAATCAACAGCAGCAAGCCTGATACCGGTGCTGTTAAAGCCTTCCTTCTCTTTATCCTCGCAAACGACTCCCTAAGAGACGAACGGCTCCGGGGCTGGCCTGCCAGCTAGTGGTACTGCTGCTATTGCAACGTGCCAGGCCACCCGCTTCAGGTTGGAGTCCTTCAAAAGTGTCGATCGTTCTAGACCAACTGAGTAGTTTTCAGTGTCAAAGTAGATTATTCTAGATAAAAAGAAGCGTTGCTCTCGTCCACTGAGATTTCAGGGAAGCATTTGATGCAGTACCACATGAGAAAATACTCGATAAATAAGGAAGGATGGGGAGTAGTAAAAAGGAAAACGTAAGGCAGTTAACCTGGCCCAAGGGAAAAGTGAAATGGAAATGAAAAGGCTGGAGTAGAGTTTATCAAGACTGGCACTGGAGACAGACTTGTTTAATTAGTATTTTCATTAACATCCTTGGCACAATTATTAGAAGTGCACTGATGATGCAAAGCTGGAGGTATTATGATTATAGAAAAAGAGGGGATGAAAAAATACTCTGGATCATTCACTGCTTCTTGTAACAGGGGATAAAATTCAGTAACAGAAAACATAAGGTCATGCATCTATGAACAAAAGTTTCTGCTGTAACCCAGAACGTTATTGATTTGAAACAACTCACAGAAAAAAGGCTTTAGGACACAAAGCAATTATAGGATTGCAAAGGACTAAGTGATACAGATATGAAAGAAAAGAGATGCGATTCTGGAATACATCAGGAGAAATATTTCCAGACTAGAGAGTAAGCGCTTGTGCTTTACAGGAACCTGATGAGAATCATCTAGAGTAAGTACAAATAATTTTTGCACGTGGAGGAGAACGAGGAACCAGCTTTGATGGAACCAACCAACCTTGGACAGAGAGTGAGCCTGCCAAAAGAAAATGCTGCTAAGGGTACAATTGATCTCTATAAATATTGCAAAAAGCAAACAAACATATTATATTGCAAAAGCAACAAACACAAGCATGGGCAAACACTGGAATGACGGCAGAAGTTTGCCGTCATTTATGGAAATAGATGAGTTTTAGAGTAAAAGGACAGGCTGGCCTAAATACAAACAGGTCAAGGCCCAGAATAGCAGATTCCCTGAACAAACAGGCATTAAGGAGGAAAACGTTTCTTTTTTAAGGGTACTTCAATCCAGTTCCTTTTCCCATACGTTTATCTAGGTGTTATTTTCTAGTTTGACTGCATCTCTCTATCACTGAATTTTCAGAACTGCTACAGGTCACATTTGATTTATGGGACTTTGGCCAACAGGCCAGTAACATCCCCGCCCCGAAATCTCACATTAAATAGAGAAAAGCCTGGCAGAGACACTAACCTGAATGTCCTTTGTTTCTACGAGACAGAGCGTTGACGCTTTTTGCCATAGGAGATTTGCCTGATTCGGACTTCTAGCTGGAAGGCATCCAACCTTTCCTTTGGGTTAAAAGCTAGCATATCACGCAGGAGTTTGCAGAGATCATCCGGCATGGACTTCTTGTTCTTCAGAGGAATTTGTAATTTCATGTTTGGATTCTCCAGCAACGCTTCTCCAAGAGGAATAAGCTCCTTGCCTTGGCAGATATAAGTTCCTGAGCACAGGTTGGAAAGAGTCAGGTTATACAAGCAAAGGAAAGTCTACAGAAAATATGGCGGTGCGCAGGATGGATAGGCAATCTGGGAAGCAAAACATTTCATAAGTGATCTTTCCAGTAATCTTTTAAGAGGAGACTGCTAAGTCAAATGTTGTAACAGTTTGTTTGTTTGTTTTTTGTTTTTTTAAATCAGAAGAGGCTTGACTTTCGAGTAGTAATCAAGTATGGCATGGTTGTCGAATATTTATATGGACTACCTGCAAGGAAAACAGAGTAAAATGGAGGAAGCTGATTTCGAAGGCTGTTTGACCCTAAGGGCAGGCTCAGAAGCTCTAGAAAAGGGAGGGAGAGAGGGAGCGATTGAGATTGTCCTTGGTTAAGCTGACTTGAAAGAGTTAATAAACAAAACTTATTTGCTCAGTTAGTCAAACAATTTTCAATTAAAATGACAGCATATGCCATTTACCCTTAGCCAACTTCTCCTCAGCAAGATTAAGGGAGGGAAATGTAAATTTGCTCCTAGTAATCTAAATAATTTCACCGGTTGCTGAAAATGATTAACTGGCTTCCAAAACAGACAGTAAAAACAGCTTTGCTCACTCAAGCTGTTCTGCCCCTGCACCAAGCAAAGAATAAATGTTTCAAAGGCAGTGACCTGTCTGTGTATAGAAAAGGTTGGCCATGCAAACTCCTTATCTCAAGTTGGCGGGTAGCTATTTTAATGAAATCTGTTCATGCTTGTGTCTCAGCTGCAACCATTTGCTTGTTTTTGTAGGCAGGAACTAAAACATTTATCAATGCTTGGCATTTTAAAAAGAAAAAAAAAAAATATATATATATATATAATAGAAAGAAACCTACTTGAAAACGAAAAAATTTCAAAGGATAGCGTAATAGCTCCTCAGTGTTGCTGTGTAGAAGTTCCTTATAAGTTAAAGAATTTAAACATTTAAAAGAAAGACAGACAGGTACATTATGATCTCAGAGTCTGGGTAGATGTCTTCAATTGTTATGCTAATGTGCACAACTGGCATTCTCTCCTCTCAAGATGGAATTTTCACTGCAATATATGTTTCTGAAATCATTTAGTACAAAGTATTTCAAGCATGCATATATGTGGGGGATTTGGGGGAAGGAAGAGGAGGAGGAGGAGGAGGAGAGAGCAGGCCATCAGACGAGTCATCCCAGTGAGATCTTGCACCTCTAAGCTGTGAGGAAACGCAGCCAGATGGCAATGAAGCTTATCTAAACATCCTTTCCAAGTTTACAGTTTGGCTCCTTGGAGCATCCTTTCAATGCTTTGAGTGGTCCCATCCCTTGGATATGCCAAGTTAAAGAGACAAACTAACTCATCAGCCCAATTCCAGGCTGCACAGGTTTTGATTTTCAGGGAAGCATTAAGAGCATTTCTGAGCAAACGGTAGGATGCAGATAAAAAGATGCCAGTGTCAATAGCTGTCTGAGTTCTCTTCCTCTTACTTTCAACTCTTTAGCGTCAATAAGAGCCCATCCCGTTTTTGAAGATCATTCCCAGGAGTGAGGAAGGCCTGACAGAAAAGAAGCCAGAAGCAATCTTTTCTCAACCTTTAAAACTTACAAAAGGTATTTTGAGAACTGGCAGAACCTTCCAAACAAAATAATCATATATAAATATAAGAACTGTTCCCTCCGACTCACTGATATAGCCTGAAGACCTGGAAACCCTGCATAAAAAGCAACCAAATTCAGAGGAACAGGCACTGAAGGAAAGAGAGATTGCTTTACAGCTCTCTGAAAAAAAAAAAAAAACTTTGGGGAGCAAAAAGCAAATTCCTGGAAGAGCCACATCCAATAACATGCCAAAACATTTGTAACTATGCCCAGGAGAAGACCTTTCAGATGCAGAAGAACACCCACAGACAACAGGACAGCTCTTATCCTCACCGAGCAATTCCTTCTCAGTATCCCCGTCTCGGAAGGTGATCCTTTCCACCATAGCCCAGAAAATGATCCCAAGGGCAAATATATCAGCCTTAGCAGTATAGTGACCTTCCCACACTTCTGGGGCCATGTAGAAGTTTGACCCGCAGGCAGAGGAGAAGCGATGCTGGTTCACATTCCCTTTCCCCTGACACACCTTGCTGAGGCCAAAATCTGCTACCTGTAACACATTAGAAGAGAAACAAAATCAGTTATTTGTGAGCGCCAAGTTTACAATCAAGTTTACAGACAGCGGCTCAGCCAATTCCACTCGGAAAGTCACCATGCCATTGCATTAACAGGTGTCAACCCTAGGGAGAGAAAGAGCTTATATTTCCCATTAGTTCTCCGTTCCCCATTCTTTTCCTGTTGTTTGTTCTCCTTCCTAGGATGCACAAGACAGATACGTGATTGTTATCCTTCTGTAAAGTTCAATCCGATTAAATCTAATTGGGCATAAACACACCTTAAACAACATCTAAGGTATCGGAGATGGAAGAAGTGGCTCTTACTGTTCCACGGTGAGCGCACTGAATCTCTGGCATTACCGTTCTTATCCATAGTGATTAAGATGACATTGATTTAAACGTCCCTTGACTGCTATACAGGTCGAAGTACAAATATCATTATTGATCTGAATGGTCAAGACATAAATTATCTGCAACGCACAGAGCTATTATTTTATGCCTAACTCCTGGAACTCTTGGGATTGAAAGTCCAGGAGCAAAGTGACTCCCAGCTTTAAAGCTGCTTTTCAGAAAACCGTGACAGATTTTCCGTCTGGTGCTACAAGAAATGCAGTTAGCCAGTCCTCGCTTCAGTCAGGGCACCAACCCGCATTAAGCGGGCTGACATCCCCCACCTCCCCTGAACATCAATATGTGCTTGAGGCAGCAATATTGGAAGTGTTAGCAGGCGTAACAGGACAGCGTGTTCTCAAAGTTTAAGGGAACAGAGGCTATTGCTCCATCTTTGATTGATCGCGATCTCTCTGATTATCTGGCGCGCAGACGTTAGACGCCCCTGACCCGCTGCTCTCAACAGGATGAGCAGAAGCTGAAAGGATGTTACATAAACACACCATCCTGACCTCTTTCCTTCCAAGACTCCCAAAAACCACACACCCGTAACTGACATCAGCTGTTTTGAACACGGTTACTACAAGCTAGAGGCACAGAGTATCCCAGCAATTTCCAAGACACCCTCCCAAAGCATATAAGGCACAAGCATCTAGATCACGTACTTATTACAGCCAAGTTTTATTCTCTTACCTTTACTACGGGACTTCCACAGCTGTGAGAGACCAAAATATTGTCTGACTTCAGGTCTCTGTGCACAATCTGGTTTCTGTGCAGGAAAGCCACAGCACTGCTCAGCTGCCGCATGAAGCTGTTGTTCAGCTGGGCATCTGGGCTGCGAGACAGCAGGTATTCGTTCATGTTTCCACCGTCACAAAACTCCATCACGAACCACAGAAAGCAGGCGGATTTTGGATCCATGCACCTCCGCCCTTTCAGACAGGTCTCAATCAGCAGCAAATGACTGTCTGATTTCCTGTAACGATGACTAATTGGCTGAAAGACTTGGCCGTTCTGCAGAATACACTCCTCCAACTGGATCACGTTTTCGTGTTGCCTCTGGATGCTTTGCAGGGCCCAGAACTCTTGCAAAGCCAACTCTACGTTTTCAGGCACGTTGCAGTGCATCCTTTTTACTGCCACTTTCTTTCTAGTTTGATTAACAACTGCCTCATAAACCACCCCGTAGCTCCCTCGGCCCACTTCTCGAACAATGCTGTACTTGGCTTCTGTAGCCATCTCTCACTTTGGCTCCGGAACAGCAAATCAAAGGAAAATATTTGAAGGTATGACAATCAGATTTTCACCTGCAGCAAAACCCTAGAAGAGAAAGGGATAAGAAGTTAAAAAAAAACAACAAAAACCCCAAACCTCCCAAACCTGGCCGTTTATCAACGATCAATTGCAAGTACCTTCCAAAAGATGTCAATTTAGATGACATATACCATTACATGGTACGGTTGCACAAGGATTGACAGCTGAAACAGGATTTTGAGAAAGCCTATATATGTGGTAACTTTAAGAGACATTATCAAGTACAATCCCGACTGCACCACAGGATAAAACCACACGGGAAGCAACATTGATTTGTCCAAAGCAGACAAAGTTTTGTGCGGAAGAAAAAGACACAGCTGTGTAGATGGGTTTATCAAACGGGCTGGGAAGGAGGACGAGACCTCCTGGGTAACACCTGAGCGTGCTTCACCAGCATTAACTCTTTAAGAAACAAAGTTGGCCCAAAATGCCCACTGGGCACCCGATCTTTCAACCTCGCTTTTCCCCTTTGTGCTCACGCTAATCTCTCACGTCCCAGCCCGGCCCGGGAGGTCCCAGGGTCTCCCCGCTCCCCTCGCAAACCCTCAGGCCCAGCCAACCCTGCTCCATTCGTGCCTTTCCCACCCGGCTGCTCCTCACCATCACCCCCGAGGCTTGTGCCCCAGTCACCCCTCCTTGCTCTCTCCCCAAAACACTCTTCCCTCCCAGCCCCACACCCCTCAAAGCCCCCCCACCTCCCTCCTCCAGGGCCCCAGCTGAGCTCCTCTCCCAACATGGCCCCCACCTGCCCCCCAGCCCCCAAACTCCTGCCCCCTCCCAGCTCTGCCCCATAGCCCCCAGCCAGCCCCGCCCCCTCG